AAGGTTCGCATATCCACCATTGTATCATGCGTCTGATAAATGAGAATCCCGTAGCCAAGGATGATGCCCGCGAGCTGAAGAGCAAATGGGGATAAAACTGAGTCAAAAAGACTGAGGGACTCGTCATAACGAACACCTACCGCTGGTACGAGTTGTTTGTCAATCCGGAAAAATCCGCCGATCGTGACGGCGCGATCATGTACGCGGCACAAATCCAGCAAACGGTCGAATCCGGCATGAAATGATGTACCGTAAAAACTGGTTCCGGTTTCTAAAAGTTGCTCTCGTAGAGAGAAAGCCTGCGGACGAAAAAGTAATTATTGTCGTACTTTTACAGAAAAGGAACATCCATATTATGATACGAGTTCATTTAATACTCGTATTTAAATGGGTATGGCTTGATAAAGCTGCTGGTTCGAATACTGCTAGTGAAATGAAGCTACACAGATGCTGCAGTTTTAGTGTTACCTCTTCGTTGCACATGATACCAGTTCCATATTTTACAACGGCGTTCAGAATTCCAGCGCCACCCACAATTTGTGCAACCTTCTGATCGACTACTTCAGTCATAGTTTTTTTGCCCGCATCCAAAAGTGTAAACAAATAACCGAAAACAGCCGCTACACATACCAGATCTTTCACGAACACTGTAAGAAGAAACCCAGAGAATGCTTGGTCAGTGGCACTGAGTAGCAACTGCAGTCGACGATATTCAAGTTCGATATCGTATAAAACCGCCGTGACCTTATCAGATTTCTTGTCCAACTGGAACACGCAGTGTCGTAGTTTACGGAGTGATCGGCGAACACTGAGAAGAACGTGCAGAACCACACACTGAGGCGCCATTTCGCAGCCGGCCGCCAATCCAATAGCGCCAAGCATGATAACAGCGCCCTGGTAAAGTTGAACACGCAGGACCTTAAATACTGGTGTAGGAGCGAACCACGAACCGTGATTAAAACCAATAATGGTGGTGTTCATCACGTAGATTGTCATCCAAAATGCCACTATGTACAGGGCACTCCATGTCAGCAGCACAAAACTGGAGCGCATGCTGTGATTTGCCGTACTATACAACGGTGTAGCGGATGCTTTTTTTGGGATCATTTTGTAGTATAGCTGAAGCATGTTCTTCGAGTTGGAGTTCAAAGTAATGATGACGAGCACCGGTTGTAAGAACATATTGATCATGAAAACCATGCGGATGAGCGTGAAGAACTCCAGAGTTTGTAGATCAGCTCGGTTGTTCGCGGAGTAGGCGAAAATGGTGTTGATCACCGGGGTCATAGATAAGCAACACAGACCGAAGGACCAAACGACTAGCAATCGGCTGCGTTTGGCTGTGCATGATTTACTACCTTCCTGCAACGAAGAGAAGTAGTAAGGGAAAATGCCGATTAGCTGCAGCCATCGGAAGAGCCACTGGATGTACGACATGTCTGGGAATTCTGTGGGACTTGCACTATGGCATTCCCGTTTCGCAGGTCTATGGCGACCAGAAAAGTAAAATATGTCACGATAACACGTTCAAACAAATCGTTAAACCGGAATATGGAGTAACAAAACTGTGATCCGGGCCAGGCTACACGATGACACCGGTCTGCTGTGTGATCAGTTTTTAGAAAAGTTCTTCATTTAATCCGGTTGGTGCACGAACAACTTTCAAGACTCAGGTCTTCCTTGTAGCCGCCGGTTTTGCTGTAGCGATCGACGAGTTGAATTCCCTAAGTGACCTGAGTAGCTGCGCTCCGGCATTTTTAATGTAAACATTAAAATTGCCAGTCCAACGCAGTGCTGCAGCTCTCGTTACACATTCGTTGCATGCTTTAGATACAGATATCTGTACAGTTGCAGACAATTATGTTGATATTACTATGGGTTGTTTGTTGCTTCCATCGTCTTCCGTTTTGCTAGATAAAAAGTAAGAAACTCAAGAAACCTAAGGAGCATAGGAATACATTGGGACCTCGGACGGCACATGAAAACAATACGTGACGTACATGTAAAAGCGAAATAATGGAGAATACACTGTGAATACAGAAGAATGCGTGTGAAATACATAGGAATACGTGGAACAGAGTGGAAAGAAATTAGCCGCTTTCATAGGGTGGTACGAAATCAACCATAGATGCCTGAATGTTAATGTAAACATGACCTGTAAGTCGAATTTATTTAGGAGAGCACATGCAGACTTGCAGACTTTGGTTTTATAGTATCGATTTCTTATATTCATATAAGCTCGCATTCAGCAATGCCAAAGAAATGTAATTATGTACTTGCTAGCTACTTTCATGTGAGTTGATGAAGAAAGCTGCAACTGTGGGATGAGTGACAGCAATATTTATGGACTCAGCTATAGATGTCTGAAATTTTCTACCATGATAACAGATGGCCGATGGTAGAAAAACTGATGAGCATGCGTATTTTTTATCCAAACAGGGTGAAATTTTCCGCCAAATAACGTTCCAGTCGCGAGGCAAACACAGTGAACTCAGCTTTTGAAAGTAAGGTTCGCATGTCCATTTTTGTATCGTGCGTCTGATAGATGAGGATCCCATAACTCAAGATGATACCGGCAAACTAAGGCGGAGTAAAACACCAGTGCACTGTAAGTGTCCGCTAAACGTTTTACATATTAAAGAAACCTACATACCGCTGGTACCAGCTGTTTGTCAACCCTGAAAAATCCACCGATGGTGACGGCACGATCGCATGCACAGCACAGGCCCACTAAGCGATCTAGTCGTGCTTGGAGAACAGTGCCATGGAAATGCGTTGCGGCGTGCAAAAGCTGGTCTCTTAACGAATAAGTCTGTATAGAGATGCGGAAACAGATATTTAAATTGAACGCATACGTAAACAGTCATTATTGTTAAGGAAGCTGCTGAAAATACTGAGTACTTGCAATGATTACTTCATCACTGGACACAATGCCGATCCAATATTTTATGCAGGCATTCAAAATTCCGATGCTGCCCACAATTCGAGCCACGTTCTGATCGACAACTTCAGTCAGAGTTTCCTTGCCCGAATCCAAAAGAGAAAATAAATAACCGAATATGGCCGCCACACACACCAAATCTTTCACAAACGTTATAAGCAAAAATCCAGAAAACGCTTGGTCAGTGTCAGCCAGTAATAACTGCAGCTGCCGATATTCCAGATCGAGATCTTGCACGGCCGCCGTGACCTTATCGGCTTGCTGGTCCAGCTGCGAAACTTTTTCTCGCAGCCTGCGGAATGACCGGCGAATGCTTAGCAGAACTTCCAGTAAAATCATCTGTGGGGCCATTTCGCAGCAGGCTGCCAGACCATTTGCACAGAGCATAATAATAGCTTCTTGGTATATCTGAACGCGGAGAACCATAAATAACGGTAAGGGGGAGTGCCAACTTGAACCGCGATTAAAGCGGATAATGGTGTCATTCATCACGTAGATTGATACCAAAAATGTCGTGATATACAGGGCACTCCACGATAGCAGCAGAAAACTACAGCGTTTGCTGTGATTTACCGCACAATACGACGGTGCAGCGGATGACGTTTGCGGATTCAGTTTGTAGTACAGCTTTAGCATGTTCTTTGAGTTGTAGCTTAGACTAACGATGATGAGCGCCGGTTGCAGAACATATTGACCATGAAGACCATGCGGATGAGCGTGAAGAATTCCAGCGTCTGTAGATCGGTGCGGTTATTTGCGGTGTAAGCAAAAAAGGTATTGATCACCCCGGTCATGGATAGACAGCACAGACAGAAGGACCAAAAGATTAGCCATCCGCTGCGCTTGATTTTGCATACTTCACTACTGTTTTGCAGCGTAGGAAAGCGATAAGGAAACAAACCGGTTAACTGCAGCCCACGAAACAGCCGCTGCATATATGACATGTCCGGGGTGCTTTGGTAATTTCGTGGTTCTCGTTTCTGAAGGCCACAAAAGCTAAATTGTCGTGTGGATATGTACAAACCAATCGTTCAACTAGAATTGTAGAGAAATTACGTTTTATAAAACGTTTATCGCCTCATTTTACAGAATGCCTTTCAGATGGGTAGAAAACTGTTTAGCTCGATGTTATCCTGGTCGAAGTGCAAAAAAGGTACACGGCATTGCTTCCGGCTTACTTCTATAACTGTAGTCGATGGCGCAGCTGCTTTTAACTGAATTCGCTGGCTAATCACGAGTCTAGCCGTGCCCGGTGTCCAAAGTAAACATTTGGGGTTGCACAACTTGTACATATGCATTAGTTCGGCAAACTATGGCACTCTCTTTGGGTACACAGTATCAATTAAATCCCTTTTGTGTTAGAAGATTTTTCTGTTCGGCTCGCACATCACCATGCATACGGCGTTCACGATTACCCGGAAAATTTCCTTTCTCATTTTGACATTGGCCGAGATCGCGCTTTTTAATAGCACTACTTACCTTGTAATGCAAGCCCAACCAAAGACTGACCGATCAAAACGTCGCTAAATGCACCCTGACATTTCAACATCCGTTAACAATTTCTCAAGAATTAAGGAACTAACTGAGCCTAAGAAAGTATTGTTATCATAATTATGTACGTACCCTGTAACAGTTGCTTTATTATATTTTTTTGGCCAAAAAACAATTTTCCCGAGTCTTGATCCAAGACATCGACAAATGAGAGCAGAAAAACTTGCAACGGCTTTGCTGGTTTTATTGCTTCGGTGCTTGGACTGCTACCGGTTACTGATTATGAAAAAGAGTGCATCACATGTAAAACACTGTTTGACAACTGTTATGAATTTATGACAACTAGATTTAATACAGGAATAAAAGATACTGCTCAATTATGAAAAATTACATTAAAGAAAGATCCGCCCTTGTGGACCGTGGTGGGACTTCTGCATTCTGGGCGTCAACCAAGGAACCAGTTGCCTTCCTGCTTTGGTGTGCCGGCATCACTCAACATAGGACTGCCCGGTTTTCTTAAGGGTCGTATCCTCGCGATGAGTCCAAATGATGGGTAATAAAAGCGCGGTAACGCTAGTGGAGACACAGTAGTTCCGGAATTTTTCCTAACATAAAACCCGTGGGGCGGCTTGTGGATCGCAGGCAGGGATGGCCCATCCCTTCCGCCAAATATCGGCTCGGTTTTACCAAACGCCAGGTGCTCGGCCTGTTGAATATTGTTGACATAGGGCAGGATTGGCAACGCAGCATTTCCAGCAATGAAAGCAACAAGAAGCAGGAGCAACATAGTGTACGTAAGTCTATGCGCGGAGCGCACCTTTTAAACTCGCACGTAAATGAAGTGCACCGCCGTGTATTGTGCGCACTATATCGGCAAGCGTACACAGTATGTATGTGAAGCGTACGCAGTATATCAACAATTTTGAACGAATGTGATGTGTGCTGACTTTATACGCTGACTGTCCGCAACGCCGAACGCTAATCGGTTAATTACAGATATGATTGTACGTTTCGTAAAATTTCTGATCGATATTTTTGTTTCCTGGCGTGATCCGATGCAAAATTGCTGACAACGCGAGCATAACTAAAGAGGACCGAGAATATGAAAAATTAAACAAGTCATGGAAAATAACCTGGGATTTTCCTGGATCTGGAATGTCGCACACAACCGAGACAGCGGAACTCCTTATTCTGGTGAGAGCTGATTCATCGCTGCAGATTACACGCTGTAATCAACTCGACAAATTATGCGTTGGGTAGACGGATGCAAACGTCAATTACAGTGCAAAAATCTAAAAATTAATCAAACATCATACCACTGGTGATGAAGCGTCTGATTACGATTCGGTTGGCTGATTTTGTGTGATTCAAACCAACCGCGGGTTTGAACAGTATTCTAGTAACCCCCTTCCACTGGCGACGTGGTGATTTCGTTAAAACCCGGATCGGTCCATTGTGACGCTGATTCTGCGGCTGCCGGTTGTTCCGCCCAGGACATGCGGATTATTCCTCATCCGAAAGATAAACCCGTCTGCCAGTTTCAAGGCACCGCGCCCTTGAAACTGGCAGACGGGTTTATCTTTCGGGCGCGGTGCCTTGAAACTGGCAGACGGGTTTATCTTTCGGATGAGGAATAATCCGCATGTCCTGGGCGGAACAACCGGCAGCCGCAGAATCAGCGTCACAATGTTGTTGTCAACGTGGTCCTTGTCACTTTGCGCTAGATCGGCCGGATTGGTGCGCACGCTAATAGCGGCAATGGGAAAGTCGCATAAGCCCGTCACCACATTGGGAATCGCGCAGCCGTAGTACATTTCATATTTATCGTCTTGGTAGTTGGTTATTGAACGTGATGGCACTGCAATAATAAAAGATTTACGAAGTATTTTTCTGCAGGCTTTTTACAGCGAAATGATTCAGTGGTGGCGAACTTACAAGTTTTCTGATTAATTTAGGACATAATTATTTGTTATTTTATTATCACTGTTCAATTTTTATTAGAATGATTTGTCAGTAATAAAAGCAGCCATTTGTAAGAAAGCGCACCTTGTCCATCACCGGTAACATCGCTCGTCTGGAAGCGGACCCCAATATTCTGCCCGGTGGAACCCAGGAATCCGGCCCAATAACCGTGGTTACACTGTGTGTTAGTGGGAGAATCATACTGCAGGTATTCCGCCCAGACGAAGTTTCCTGTGTAATTCGTCACCGGCATGGTGGTTTTGCCCAGGACCGTCCACGAGTAGCGCATATCAACCGCCGTGCTTTCCGCGGTAAACAGCTCCCGGTATGTGTACCACAAACCGACAATCTATCATACAAAAGACTTTGCGGTTGACGTCGAAGCCTGCACAACGTTGGCGAAGGGAACTAGCAAGCTTGAAAAAATGATACTCACGATTTTCGGATCGTACGTGGTTTGCGGCGGAATATACACTGGCCAGCGACACGCAGAGAGACTCGATGTGGAATCTGCGCTATAACTAGAGGCGGGAAGGGTTGCCTGACCTGGAATTGTTGTTTTCTTATACAACAATTCAAAGATTAAAATGAATATAAACAGTTTATAACAGAATCACATCCAGTGCGCATCAATCGTGTGTGTTCGAACAGAGAGTTACTTGTTGACGTAGCATACGTCACAGTGAAGCGTTTACTTTTTCATTGCTCCTTGGTAAAAGTGTCATTAATCGGCAAAGCTTACGATTTATAAAAAGTACATACCGAAAGTGCTGTTAACGCCAATATTTGCTTGTGTTCCTTGGATCAGACTTCCCAGACAAGCCGGATGTTTGCCGGTCGTCAAAGGTTTGCAGTGGGAGATTCTGGGTACTGATGCAGTACGACTGAAACGTTACGTTGACGATGCTATCGAAAGCAGCCTGATCACTAGTCGACAGTGGGTCGGCGCGAATGCGGGTCTGCGACCAGATAAGCGGGTTGTTACACGCGCCATCCGGTGTCGGTGCAGCACATCCGTAGCCGATCATCAGCTTGTTGTAATCGTAATACAAAACTGCGATAGTTCCGTAAATCTGTTGAACGTAAAAAGTGAATTATACAATAAATAAATACGGTAATATTTTTTGGTTCGAAAGCGGTACTTAACGGATAACGCTATAACCGTCCGCGGAGGTGGCGCCGTGGCCCACGCGTGCCCCACTGTCATCGTACATGCCGGCCCAGAATTCATTCTGGCAGGTGGCGTTGCTGGGTGTCGATCAAGCAATTTGCACGGCCTGCTGGTACGCTGTGCGGTTCATCAGCGGGTCAATCGTGGCGCCGAGACTGGTGTACATAACCCGTTGATTTAGAGTAACGGCGCTCTTCACCCGGTAGGCATACCAATTCCTAGCTTCCTGTTAAAAAACACTGATGGAAAACAAGAAAAGGAGATTGATTGTTTATTAAGTAGATTCTCGACAGACCAGAGAAGGGTCATCACCACCATGAGACGGCATACTAGCCGGATAACGCGGCGTACAGGTTTCTGTGGATGAGATGGTAGGTCTCCCTGAAGTAATTTCAAAATTTAAAAGCGATCGCGTAATAGATGTATTTTTTAGCCGCTTTAACTGAGTCGCTTTAAGTACGTCCCTGTACATGCGAGACTACGTGCGTAATCGAGATGATTATATTCGTATTTCTAATTGACTGACTGGATGACAACTTGCACTAAGTTTATTTCCTACCGATAATACATAGGATAGGCAGAGTTATGAAGCAGCATCGCATTAACATTATAAATTTAAACTAGAAATAATCTAAAGATTAAGAACTCCGAGCAAGAAGAGGTAACTCAAATAATAAGACAGGTAAAGATTAAGAAACCGCTGTGCTCACTGTCTACCCGAAACTGCTCTAGTGAATCTTGTTAGAAGTCTGGTGTATCTGCTAAAAGAAAGCGATACTACTGCCTGCTCTTCTACATTCGGCTCGGAGCGAATTTGTGGCATACTTACAAGATGCAGGAAGTTGTGCGTTTTTAATCAGACTGTCTAATACTGCCGATATGCATGTATGTATAGTATCGGAGGAGTACGACAAGAAAAATAATTATGAGAGTCATATCGACATGATAATTACCGATCACCAATGAATCAAACACATCGGCTTCAAAGTTACTCTATGTAGTCTGAAGTCGCTTATTGTTGGACGAATCTGTGAATACGGACACTGAGAAAGCATGAGTTATAATCTACACTGTACGAGTATTGATTTGGACATACATACGCCTGAATAGTCTCGCGGTTTAATAACGAATTTACCACTCGGATAAACACGTATAGGTGAGAGAATCCGAAATTATGGAATTTGTTGTGGTGCAGCGGCTGTACAGGATATCGGATTTCTGCATGATAAAAAGAACAAGACTTTGTGATTTATACTCGTGCACGCCGGTTGTGCTCGTTCCCCTGGTCGTTGTAATGTTTTTTCGAAGTTTTTATGTTTTTGAAATTTTTGGTCACGTTTTGACACTTTTTGGTTGATATGGGCTCTTCTTTACTGCTGAATAATTCAGTTTCTGTGATTCACTTTTGTGCAGACTCCAGTTATAAGGCGGATGCGCCCAGAAAGGACGCGTCTAGATGGCAGTTCAACTGTTCAAGGGTAGGACGAATGAAGCGCATCGCTGACTGAAATTTAGCATCTTCCACAGCGGCAAACGCAATGTTTACATGAGACAAACGTCTCCAGAATACGGGTCACAAACTCCGCTTGCTCTTTCTTATCCAGAGGTTGGTCACAGTGCGCTGCAGCTTTGGCCTGCGCTCAGGTATTTTTCGTGGAGGGCTCATTACTGTCTGGTTCTTTATGTGCCGGCAACCTGCAACGCTTTCGAAAAGCATTTTTCTCCGCTTCGCAGAAATAATTACTTAAAGTTTAACTATACACTATCCAAATACAGAAATTAAGCACAAATTAGCAGTACGTTATACACATACCAGCAAAATTAATTGTTTGTATTCATGCTATTATGTATATGTGCAGGTTTGACTTTTTACGAGTAGCTTCAATTTTTAAACACTGGCCAAATTCTGACAAAGAGCAACACATGATACTTTATTAAAACACAACATAAATACGAAGCTGCTCTGTAGCATTGTAAATTGTTATTCGTAATAATAAACAACGAATTTTATATAACCAAAAAATCCCGTTCGATTACTTCATTTTTCTGGGAAACTACCCCAGTCCGCTTAATACAAAATTGTAATATGTTATCTCATACAATCAAAGCAGAAAAACAGTATAACACATAGTTTACGATTATCGAAGTTGAGCCGAATTAAGACATTCGACTCTCCAGTGCTCATAGGAGTTTATCTAACGAACTGAAACTGTTATGGGCCAGCAAAAACCTCGATAATCCCATATATCGCCATTTTGCTGTGTGCAGACATCAATAAGCCTCAGATCCACATTATCCCAAGGTTTCGGGTTGCCATCGGTGTGAAATCCGCTAAACCTACAATGGATAACACAAGCATTGTGTCAAATGAGTCATGAAATGATACGACTCTGGTTGCTAAAAGCAAGCTCCGACTTTGATTGCTAAAACGCTGACTCTCATTGTTCAAATATTATATATATACATAAATATTTCCCTTGTTTCCTTATCGATTCGAACCTAATAATTACATACTACATGCACGGCAGTATTTACCTAAAATAATTCATTACAACAATTCATTCACTTAATTCAGTTAGTTGCAATGTTGGCATTGGCCAATCAAGCCTACGTGAAACTTACAGTACGAAATACTGTCGGATTGTTTGCCATTCATTCGGGTAAGCCAGGGTACGCACCCACCGACCCTGCACAGCTTTGACTTTCGCAAACATGTCGTCAGCGACCGACGGGAAATTGTTGTCCAATGCCCACATGAAACGGCTAGCCAGTTGTGCGTAGCCTCCGCTGCAGTGCAGAACCAGCTTCGGAATAGTGATTTGTAATTTATCAATGGCAAGAAGATGGTCAAGTTCTTCCGGTGACGTCCATCTATAGGTGAACTTTTTCATGAAATTTTGTTCGGACTCTGGCAAAGGAAAGAGATGCATATTTTCTGGTGTCATAAACAGCTGGTAGATTGACCGGCCAAAGATGTACATAATTCTCCAGTTGTACAGCACGATACGATCGCATCTGTCTCCGACGAGACATATCCACAGCCAAGCAGAATGCTCCATGAGATTTCGTCGTGTTGAATACCAAAAACCGAAGCCCTGTATATCGTAGTTTTTAAAAATAAGAGTAGGCAGCCTGATTCTAATGCCATCCATCCAGTTGCCTAAAAACATCTGCTTCCGCTCAAGGAAAGGCTTCAGAATGGTGAGGCTTTTTGTCCTAGAGGTAATTATGCGGCTCAGGAGGCATGCTGCTTTGTAGCAGTTAAAATTATCGGACTTGGTT